TTCACAACAGGATACTGACAGCTTCAGAAGACAGAACAAAACAAGTCAAATAAATTAAATCCATGGAAAAACTCTACTGGAAAAAGTTTCAGGGCTGCAACACTTTGCAGTTAAAGGGGCATATTCTTATATATTTACAGTACCAACAACATAAATCCTCATTTACGCATAAATTTACGTCCAATCATTCATGCATTTTTCTGTCCTACTTATTCCACCGTATGTCCCGGTAACATTCATACCCATTTTACACATCAGATGTTCAAAGACAACTTTTCATAATTAAATCCAGATCACATCAGCGCAATATAATGACGAGAAACATCAAGGCATATAAACACGCCCACTGAGTAAGGGGGACCGGGGGGGGGGAGATGCAAAGCAGTGCGTACTTGCGGCTCAGAAGTCACAGCGATGACAGATCAGATTCAAACAGGGCTGACGCAAGAATGGAAGAGTCTGAATTCACAGGATCGGCTGCATTACAGCGTGTCCTGGTCTGTGTGCATGTGACCGCCAAAGGCAACCGCAAACCTCACAGACGTCACGGCATTTAGGGTCATGACCCCCCTCCCCCTTCTGTTTGGTTATTGTCAGCATTTCTTAGGGGTAAATGCAAACTAGCTCCAAAACTCAATAAGACATTCTGCAAAATTATTACAAAACTGCCACCAGTAACTTACAACTTATGACTATTCTATTTACCTTCATTCTTTCTGTTCTGCGCTGAAATTACGCAATTAATGACGTGATGGCTTTTTCCGAAGTGTTCAAAGATGCACCTTTTTCGGGCAAGGGGAATGCAATGTGTATAATTGATGTGTTTCACCAATTATAAACTATTTACATAAATTATAAATAGAAACTGACAGAAATGGATGCAAGTGGTGAGAATTTCAAAAAGACCAAGTTTTATACCATCGATGGTGTCGAAGCCGTCATACAAGCTGCCTGGGTGCCAGGCTACAGTAAATGCTGAGCAGTAAATAGAAACAAACACCAGAGAAAGCCCCCCCCCGAGCCGGGCCAAACCTGAGCAACCTGAGCGGAGATCAGGGAGGAATGGAAAGAGACCAACAGGGAACAGGGAACAGGGAACAGGGACCCCCCCCCCCCCGCGCCAAAAGGCCACAGGAAAAAGGGATTTAAGAGATATAGCACATTATGACGCAGAGCAAACCCCTGTGAGAGGTCTCTGGAATAATGAGAGGCCTGTCATCCCCAATACCCCTGACACCCCCCCTCTCCTGCAAAGTCATAGTGAAGCCTCGGGTGCAATGCATGCTATAAAAGGCAGAAGTCCATTCATAACACCCCCGCCCAAAATCTTACTACATTTTACTTAGCATAGCAAAGACATAAACTTGACATAATTAAAAACACAAGAAACGATGCTTGAAAAACAATTGAAAAGTGTAGCGACATTGGTATAGATTCTGGCCTAGTTAGCATGTCTGTGCTTCAAGAGGCTGCATTTCCCCCAGGGATCAATAAAATCTCTTATTTAGAGATGATACAGGACTCCAACAATACTCTCAAGATTGACATATTTGGTTATTCTGTTTTGTTTAAATATAGCTTCCCTTCCCGGCATAGTTGCCCTCAAAGTGCATAGAGACTTGCAAAGAATTAACTGGCGTATCCTAAATGTCAAACTGCGTCTTATTTTATCCATTATGACTGTGTATGCTTCACTGCTGTGTGAAAGCAGCGAACCCACAAGACCCTCCTGGGCCGCTTGGCTGAAACTGGCCGTCCTCTTAAATGTGAAAGGAAGCTCACTGCGAACGGGGTTCCAGGGGAGACGAAGGTCGTGGCGGAGAAGCACGGGAGGTAGTCGAGCGAAGGCGCCCAAGTCCCACCGGGGAGGGTAGCACCCAGGGAAAGGCGGCACGATGCCCAGCCATCTCTCATGCATTCCCTCTCACCTCCGACGACACCGTACATCAGCGAAAGCCCCCCCCCCCTCACACTCTGCTCACCTGTTCATGGGCAGGAGTCTCCAAGTCCACCAGAGGCAGCCAACCATGTGCTCTCATTTCCAACACGCTTCTGCCCCCCCCCCCCACACCTGTTTTCCTGTAGTGCAGGACATGACTCGACAACGCCCCCTTTTGCAATAGTCACGCTGTCCCGAAAGCAGCTGGCAGGCTGTTAAGCCATATGAATTTCAGAAAACGTCGGGTCACCACTATCGGAAAACCACAGACTCGTCCCAATCTAAATACCATGCAAGAGCCTTGCAGCCCCCTAATAGCAAACTGATATGGTGTTAATGATCATGGGGGGGGCGGGTGGTTCATAATTTTATCAACACCACAGTAGAAGTACAGGCATGAAGTAGAGCGCTGCCCTATTAGTCCCTACAGGCACCAAAACCATCCCCGCACATGCCAAAACAGTCCCCGTCTCATCTCTGCATGTGCCAAAACAGTCCCCGTCTCATCCCCGCACATGCCAAAACAGTCCCCGTCTCATCTCTGCATGTGCCAAAACAGTCCCCGTCCCACCCCCGCCAAAACAGTCCCCGTCCCATCTCTGCATGTGCCAAAACAGTCCCCGTCCCACCCCCGCCAAAACAGTCCCCGTCCCATCCCTGCATGTGCCAAAACAGTCCCAGTCCCGTCCAAGCGTGCGCCAAAACAGCCCCCATCCCACCCCCTCATGTGCCAAAAAACAGTCCTATCCTAATTATTAAATTACTGAGTTGGAACGATTACCCAAACATATTTATTTTGCATTATTCAGACAAAGTCAAAAATCTTAAAAATCTTGTTAGTGAGAACAAATCACTTGAGAACAAAAGGACTTTTAATAAATACAGCAGATAGGCCTATACGAATTTATGCATATACAGGCAATTACATTACCATTACTGTGCCGTTACCATACATTTTTATTACCATTTATAGTTTCGCTCAGGTGCAGTGTTTCGAAATGCAATGATCAGAAACATGTTGAGGTTTCCTCACCACAGACTTCTATCACAGTCGACAACAAAAAACATGGCCTGTGTTTACGAGCATAAAGACTGACCGTACAGCCAAAAAGCCCCCCAACATACACAGGTTCTATGTGTCGACAGCCCCCCCTGAGATTCTGCTTAATTTTTTGTTTCCCCTCTGTGTGTTTGGATGGTTATAATACCAGCAGGGCTGTAGATAACTTCTCTCTGTAATCAATGCCCCCCCACAAAAAAATACCTATCCACAGTTCTTTTGTCCTCCTGATTCTGATGTACTGGAATTCCACCACTGCATCCTGTGCTGACAATAATATCAGAACCCCAGTGATGAGTTTCACTTCCTAGATTTTACTCTCCGAGGAACTTTAATACAAATTAGAAAATACACGTCTTCCCTTTGAACACTGCTAAGGAATGAGAGAAAAATCATATCAGAAAATAGGGCTTTTAAATTTTTGTGAACTTCCACTGCATCAGTAATCACTATACAGTGCCAGTGAAAGCAAATTAACCAATTTGCATAACTAATATCATGTTACTTATTTTTAAATGGTTAATATTAAAATTAGCATTGAGTAATATTTAAATGTACAGAGTGCTGAATTTCAGATAATCTTTTAACAAAATAATTCCTTTTGGCAGGAATGCCTGTTAGCTGTCATTTGTCTCCTTATTCTCTCCAGCCTTTATGTTAGCAAAGGTGAAGCCTCATTCGTCACACAGCGTCATGCAGGTGGGTCTCAGCAGCAGGTACCTTTGCTCATGGGCAGCTAACGGAACCGGGAATCCCAGGTTCTCAAAGACGCGAGTACAGAGAGGGTGGTGGCAGACCTCCAGACTGAGAATTTGAGAGTTTCCATCGGCATCACACAAACCAAAATCGCCCGCACATCAAACGGAGATGACGTGGGTCGATTAAATAGTGATCAACCGTGTTTCAAAAATACAGGTCACAAAAAAAACTAAAACATTACACTAAAATTCCTCCATCCGTCCATCTTCACACACAATGGGCAATATGAGACGTCTATTAGGCTGAATTAATTCACAAATTAGGGATGAATATGCAGACCCCGAACACAGAGAAGGTGCCGGAGTCTAACCAGCAAACCCTGCAGGTGTGACTAGACAGTTTTTGCCCACGGACCAGGCCTGCACCCGTCCTCCCCATGCACAAGACCATCCAGATAAATTGAGTTTCTCAGTGTAAAGCAGGGATATGTCGCAGGAATAAGTAAAATGAGTTAATCGGGATCCAGACCTGCGAGAAATGAGCATCTGAAACAAGCAGAGCAGTGGGAGGGAGACAGCGGCCGTGTGGAGGAGCCTGAGCGGACGCCAGGCCCTGTGGCCACGCCCCCCAGGCTCTATGGTCACGCCCCCCAGGCTCTATGGCCACGCCCCCCAGCACCTCACAGCGACCCACGCTTCCTGCACTGCCCTAGAGGGCACTGCTGACGTCAGCGGCCTTAGCTCAGCTGCGTTCTCTTAATGGAAGGCTTGGGGGGGGGGGGGGTGCTTCCTGGGAGATCCATCAACCGGGCTTCAGCGCCATGTTGCCGCACAGAACCTAAAGGCCGACTCGACTGAGTTTAACGACCCGTAAACATCCAGCATGCCCCATGCCCACCCCCCTCCCCCGGCCTTCTCGTCACGTTGTGACACGTGAAGACGACGCGTAGGAGTATGTGTGGAGCACAATCATTTACTGCTAACTCACAAGGAGGAGGAAAACTCCTTATAATTACTCTTAGGGTATTAAAACCGCGCCCTATGATTAATAACCATTACTGCCTATTGGTGAATCCAGGCCCGGGCAGTTGAATGTTTTATGAGCTGTTAGAGGATGTAAGATCAGCTGTCACAGCAAGTGAGGGCTGTTCCCTCACACGGGCGCACGTCACAGTGAGCTAAGTCCAGAGTATGCGGGCAGCAAACTCACAGGTCAAGTGCAGGACTTCCTGTTACTTACAGCACGAGGCATTGAAACTAAAGAGTGCAGTCCACTGCGCACAAAGGAGTTAACGGGCCACACCTCCTGAGCGACTGCTGTTCTTCCTCTTCAGCCATCTGTCCACGGTCTCCGTGCTCACGCTCTCCGACACAAACTCATCCAGCATCTGGGGGTGTAGGGAAAGGTAGGCCTTGACTTTCTCGTCCGTCAGACCTGCAATGGGGAAAGAGGCAGACAGGAGCACAGCTGGTTACAAGAAAACCGCCGCCTGCCGTCCGCCGAAGACACAACTCCTATTCACAGCACGCGGCGCTGGATCCCGTCAGCATTACCGTGAGCGGCATTCCGGCACTGGCTGTGCAGACGGTGTTTACCCTTACAGGAAATTGGATCTGTAACAGCCAGATTGTACCTGACTGAATCTAATTTGTTTTCAAACTGTAATTTAAAATGAACAAATCTGAAATGCTCCTTTCATCCTTGTCGCGTGATCTCATATGGACTTTAATCAAATTGATGGGGGCGTAGAGATGAGCAATCGAGCAGCGAGGGCGATAGACTCCTGCGTATACATGTGTGACCATCCTCCGTTTTTTTCCTTTTTTAAAAATATCTTGCATTTTCTTTAAATAAAACCCAACTTGTACCCAGCAAAAACACTCCAAGCAGTGAAGGACAGAGTGTAACCTGAACTTTGTTGGTTTAAGTCCCAATCTAAGCAGTCTAATTAAAGCTGCTTGATCCAAACTTCTCCTGCAAAACATCCAGTTGTTTATATAATGGATTTGACACCATAGCTGGGGGGTGCGCAAAGCTCACTTTTTCACAAGGGGAAAAGTGCTAGGGAAACGGAGATCAGTCCATGTGCCAAAAAGTGTGTGATTACCACATTTCACAGGGAAAGAACGAGACTTAGTTCAAAGTTCAAGATGCACCATTTGACAGCATCTTAGAGGAAGACTTGAGGGAGATTCTCATGGATCAACTGGTTTGGTGTGATTCTTTTTGTAAAGACAGTTCCAGGGACGTATGGACATGGCAGGAGAGGGGAGAGGACAGGGGATTCCCCCCCCATGCCTGGGAGTGCACCTGAACTTTTATTGCATCTGTTCCTCTCCAAGGAGCAATGACCAACCAAGCCCCAGTAAGGGGAAGAGGGCTTCGATTGCGCTTAATAGGCAATTAGGTCCCGGAGAGCTTGCTAAATGCGGCTGTTTATTGTCTTTGTTGTCGAGCAAACAGCCATTTGCAAAGCCGTCGTCGGGGTAAAGTATGTTTTTAATGCGCCGGCTGGCGTCGGTGAGGCTACGCTGCGTCACGATCTCACCAGGGAGCTCCGACACGCCCCTCCCAACCTGGAGAGGATCGCTTAGGGGGGGCCTCTCTGGGACACGCCATCCCTAAAATTAACTTTTACAACATCAAAGGTCAATGAAAAATAACCAGTGATAGCCTGAATTACTCATGGGACGTGAATACACTGCCATACTAACGCAGAAGCCCATTGGCTACCCTCGGGCCACAACCCCCAGACCCTGAGCCACTAACCGCAAATAAAACCAACCTATCACACCAAATCGGTCAATACTGTTAGACGATGTTGGCATTTATTCATACAAAACAGCATTTCTGCGTTTCGAAATCCACCTTTGTGCCCTTACATAAGAGAGGCTGCAACTGAACTATAAGCTAAGAGAAGTGTGGAATCTGGAAGCTTACCCTAAACAAGAAAGCTGCACTCAGCTGTAAAATACAGGTAAGATTAGCTGCCGGGCGGAACCGATCCTGGGTACCCCTGCTAAGAAGGGACCCCGAAGAACGTGGGGAGCCCACTGAGAAATAGGGCTGTCCCAGGCCAGTGGACGGATACAGAGCAGCTGCGGAGCATCTGTGGAGGCCTCCTGTAATGAGAGCCAGGCCACAGAATGGGAGCTTCAACCCATCCATGGCTGGGCCACTTCCAGCAGAGGTAGTGGCTATAACAATGGCTATAAGGATGAAGGAGGGGGGTGTTTTTGCATGTTAAAACAAAACAGATGGCAGTCTCCAGTGTCTATACTGGATGGGGGGTTTTATGAATACCCAAGATACCCAGGGCATAAGGGCGAGAGGCGGCTTACAGATTACACTGCTGTAGGAATACACCAGCCTACAGTGCTAACGTCGCACCAAAACACTACCATGGAGTACCATACGAATACAAGCACGAGTACTCATTTTATCGTGACTTTGGTGTATCCGGAATGCAAATGCATCTCAACAGATGATTTAATGTCAGAAGAGGGATGAGAGTGAGAGCTGGGCCGAGGTGACGTGAGGATGGGGAGAGGGGTGATGGGGAGAGGGGTGATGGGGCTGATATATAAATGGGAGCGCCTAACAGACACCAAGGGTAATTCAGCAAATTTGTAACAGGAGGCTGTCTACACGTGGGGGCGACATACCCCACCACACTCCTATCCCCTGTGACATTTTAATGAGATCCATGACATTTATTACTTGGCAAAAGCAGAGCCAATGGGAAGAGTGGCACCAGGAGGAGAGAGATGTATACGGGGGGGGCCACAGGTGGCACTGACCCTAGCTGAAAGCTGATTGGCCCCGGGAATGCCCGCTCAGCTCTCACTCACCGATTCAAAACATATCCTTGGCTGATAATAAGGTTGGCCCCTCAGTAGGATGTAACCACCGAGTCTACCCACAGACAGCCTAACAACCACCGTCTTGGATACGACTGAATCGGTTCAAGCACCTTCTCACTCACCACGTCTTGGATTCATCCCATTGCTGCTTCACCGTGGTGACTGATCACCTGCTCATGCCTACGGACGCCTCTGTTAATAAAGCCCAGCTGGCCCCGATTCTACCTTATTAGAGATAAACAGGGTCAGCTGGGGGGGATTAGCGAGAGGATAAGGGAGTTTGAGTCATTGGCCCAGGGAAGCAGTTGATATTTTCTTGCATGGGAATAGACTGGCTTGTTTGCTGTGTAATGTTGAGTCTTGGGTTCATACATTGTACACAAGAAACCGTATTATATAAAGACAACACACTGCAGTGGTTCATCAAAACACATTGATCAGAAGATGCCTTAATCCACCCCCCCAGCCCACAGCAATTTATATATTTGGCTTCATTTACTTTTCCCCTCTTTTTATTAAAAAATAAATAAATAAATAAATCAGAGCAGTAAAATCACATGCAGCATCAAAGTCCTAAACGGCACCGCATGACGTAAGCAAACACACTCTAGCCGCAAGCTCTCGCTCGCATCCTTAAGTCTTTCGCTCAGAAATAACCTTCAACAAATATCACTTTCTGTCGATCTTCCATGTTGAATAAACCACAGCAAGACCACAGGTCTTTACTGCTCATCCTTGTGCGGCCTCTCCTTTTAAGCAAGCTCCTTCAGCATATGACTGGGCTGATCTTTAACTGAACAGCAGTAGCTTAGCGTCCTCTGTTAGCACTGAGCTGAAAGTTCTCCGCACACTACGGGCCTCCAAGATCAGCACTGAATAACTAGAACTGGAAACAAAGTAAAACAATTCTGCCAGAGCCAACCACAGGCCAACACAACACTCCTAGTTTCCCAAGCTCTCTAAAAAAGCCTTTCAGACTAGGAAAGCCACACCAGGCTATCGTTTCAAAACGGCACACAAATGATCATTTGGCTCTCAATGAAGCCAGTGGCCAGCTATTAAAACTGAAGAAAAACTTGGAAATTTGCTCTGCACAGCGTCAATTTCTGTGCCTTTATCCAATTATGATCCACTACAGAAACCTGGAGACAGTAAATTGCGATATTCATTTAAATTTTGGTATATTCAGGACATACAAACACGGATTTTGAACGTCAAAGTGACACATATTCAGACAAAAACAACTTGAAATTTTCTTTAAAACAATTCATGAATGCACACATACATTCTGTGATGTTTGACAGTGTTTATGTCTGGGTCCTTCATGAAAAGCTGCTGTAGTTACACAGGCGGACTTTTTCGGCTGGCAGAACTGCTTGTGACCAGAGATATGTTTACAGCCCAAAATATGAGGTCAGTTAATTGACGGATTGATTGTATTATCATGCATATTTATGCAATCCTGTCAGGGACTGGCACTGCTCAAAAAATACCTGGCCTTTTGCTACCCGTTTCCAAAGGCTACTGACATTCTACAGGGATGAACAATTATGAAAATGAAAAGATTAAAAACAATCAAAAACAAAACACAAATTATCAATACATATGACAACTAAAAAGCACTGCACATAGTGCACAGGTTTCATTACACTAAATTAATTATGCTAAAGCTGCACACGTGTATTAGCCAGCATATGCATAAATTCTATAGTATGTGTGTGCTTGAGTATAAATGCAATAATTTCACAAAGGGACAGATTATGATTCGACATGATTACTGGGTGAAAGGGCATCCTGTGCACGTATGTGATCGATGACTGATGTCATTATGATTCACGTAAAGGCACCCCTAAAAACTAGCAAGAATTATAAATTATATTACTGCAAAAGACCAGATGTTTAAAAGCTCAACTGCTTAAACAATTTAATCCATGTACAAAAATGAATCTCCTGAATAGATCTGTAGTATCAAAATTATATACATACATTTCCAAATGACTAGTTGGGCAAAAATCTACATGCACGTTCCAGTACAGCATTAAGAACATTTGGAAATAGCAGACATATGCATTAGCCCATTTTAAAAAGATAAGTGACTCTGGAAGGAAAAAAAAAAATACACACATATAAAATGTATTGGAAGCCCTAAAGCATGATGAAAAGGCAAATTTAATAAAACTGAGCCAATTTTTCCTCAAACTATCAACTATAACCCCCCCCCCCACAACTAACTGTCCTTGGCACAGCCCCTCACTCTCTACACATCAAAGTGCACAGCAGAAGTTGCTAAGTATAGTATATAACTATGCGTTTGTGTACGTGTGTAATATTTGTTTTTTTTTTTGTTTTTTTTGTTTTCACCTTTATTTCTCCTAGCAAAAGACAGGGATCTGAACTTCATCTCCGGGCACCATTCCAGAGCCGGTGATCCACTCTGTGTGAAGCAGCCACCCTACATGCCGAGATCCATGTGACAGCGCAGATGACGCGTGTGATCAGTACCAACACCCCCCCGCCCCCACCACCATCCCTCACAGATCGACACCACCACCATCCCTCACAGATCTACAC